AAAAGGAAATTTAAACAATACAAATTATACAATGTTTACAAAGTAAACGGAAAATTATACATGTCAATACAAATGGAAAATTATATAATACACAATAGTCAAGAAAAATTACTAAAATTGAAATACAAATTGAAATAACAGAATGCAAATGGAATATGATAGAATAGAAACAGAATATTATAAAATACAAATAAAAATTATACAATACAAATGAAAAATTATACAATACGAATGGAAAATTATACAGTACAAGTAAAAAGTACATAAAACAATAGAAATGTAAAAAAAAAAAAATAATAATTGAATATTGCATATTTTGACTTGTCATAAGTATTGAGACTGCATTTGCAATTGAGATTTTCTAGAAGAATAAATATACAATTACGAAAGAACCGTAAATCCCCGTTAATGGTTACCTTACTGTAAAACTTTATGAAAAACGTGATGACTTCAACTTTTTTATCATCAACGTAGCAATACAATCTTATCTCCTGCATATTGCGTATATATATCTTCCAGTTGATTCGATACGCAAGAGCATACTCCACGTACAAACAATTTCTAAAATGAGAGAATTTATTGACAAACAAGTTGATGAGACAAGGATATCAACAGTCTCGTTTAAAGTCATCATTTCGCAAGTTCTATGGTCGATACAATGACCTTGTCAGCAAATACAGTTTATCATTAAGTCAAATCCTGACTTACGTTTTTCATACTAATTGTTAGGCCATTATTTAATCACTGAATTGTCTACAGATTTTTCCGTTATTTCCCGATCATGACAGTGAGTATACGGCGGGTGTGACCAGTCGACAGGGGATGCTTACGCCTCCATGGCACCTGATCCCACCTCTGATGTTTTAAGAGGTCTGTGTTTGCTCTGCTCCCGATTTGTTTTGTTTCGATGGACTTTCGTTATCTCCTTATTTTGCTACGGGTAGCGAAAAGGGGGAAATGCTCTATAAAAACGATTTTTATAATTTCAATGACCATTAAAACTTTACAAATGGCATTAAATACATAATCAACACACCTTTTTGCAAAAAAAAAAAGAAAAGAAAAGAAATATTAATTGTACATAAAAGCAATAACGATATGTACATGTATACGTACGCAAAGATCACAAGTAAATGCAAAACAAACGGTTATCTTTGCATAACAAACAATATACAAAAATAAGACAAACCATTGAATACACAACAAATGATTCTAATTGCACGACATTATTTATAATTTTATGGTTTATTTTATAATTAATAATTATTTTATTTGCCTGATAATTATTAACTTATTATTATCATTTTTAAAAAAGTCAACTTGGAACCAGAAATTTGAGTTCCATTTAACTTCCTAATCAGTCGCTCAGGTTACAAATGGACTTGATACCTCTTTGTGAAATCATGCAGCGTCACCAAGGGCTGTTTGTTAAGTTTTCATGTCTTTTGTCACGCATTTTTGCATGTTGTTTTAATAGAATTATATTTGGCGAAAGACTGTTTATCTTGATTTTCCCTTCACTTATTTGGCAATGTTGTTCATTTAGTATCTTTTGTTGTGTAAAAATATCTTATTTTTATTTACTGTTTGTTCAAAGAGTAATGATATTTTAAAGGCTATTAATGTATTTACATCATATGATAATCTTAGCCCTGACACATTAAAAATATAATAATTTTTTGATGGATCATCAAATTCCCTTGTCTTATAGCATGAATAGTGCTCTAGGTTCATAAATTTTGCAACTTTTGAAGGATTTTTGACATATACATATCTTCAGTTTGCCTTTTTGATTCTTGTGGTAAAGAAGAAAGTCACCCAGGTGGCACAGTGGCTAGAGCGTTTGCTTTAGAGTAAGGAGTTGATCCTTATGTCAGGGGTTCGAATCCCACTGTGGGACGTGGAGACCGGTCCTTCGGATGAGACCGCATAAACCGAGGTCCTGTGTCGCAGTAGGTACTGGTACGATTGATTGATTGATTGTTGTTTTACGTCCCTCTCGGGAATTTTTCACTCATATGGAGACGCCACCACTTGCCGGTGGTGAGCTGCAGATTTTGACTTTTGCTCAGCACTCAGGGCAATTGAGCAATGAGGGATCTTTTACGTGCCAGCACCTACTGCGATACGGGACCTCGGTTCATACGGTCTCATCCAAAGGACCGGTCTCCACGTCCCACAGTGGGATTCGAACCCACGTCGTAAGGATCAACTCAGATGCTCTTATCACTGCGCCACGCCGGCGACGGTGCTGCTCAATGGCCCTGAGTGCCGAGTATAGATGAAAATTTGCAGCTCTCCACCGGCAAGTGGTGGCGTCTCCATATGATTGAAATATTCCCGAGAGGGACGTTAAACAACAAACAGACAAACAAAACAAAAAGAACGAGTGCATATATATATATATATATATATATATATATATATATATATATATATATATATATATATATATATATATATATATATATACTAGTAGTGAATATAGAGATATAGCGCAGTATGAGACCAAGTTAGCCCTATCCCGGAGGCCAACCCTCGTTCCAAGCTTAAAGGATTACGGATTTCACAATTGATTTTTATAAAGGAACTTAAAGGAAAATTATTTTGTCTGCTTGATTTTCATATTTTTTTTCTACATCATTAGTTTCATCAGTTAAGAACCTTAATATATATATATACTAGATGAAATCCCGCGCAAGCGCGGGGAATTGAATTTATAACACTACCGACCGAAAAAATCTAATAATATATATATTGTAGTTTCTACTGACAGCCTACAGGCTTATAGCAGGAAGAAATACTTTGTTCAAAATCCCGCTTGAAGTAGAAGTACGTCTCCCCCCCCCCCCCCCCGTAAAACTTAAATAACAATATCATTAATTGACGTTTATTGTGAAATCTGTTATATACAATGTACTATGTTACGGATATTGTATATACTATGTTATGGATATTGTACTTAAATGCTCTTATTTCATTTCCATCACGAATAAAAGCAGTGAATATGCACATTTTACTGAGAAATAGATTTTTTTTTTTGGTAAAAAATTCACAGGTACTTGGGTCTTGGTTTATAAATATGTATGCACCTTATTGATATGTAAAAACTGTACCTTTACTCCTTTTTTTACATATCAATAAGGTACATGTATACATATTTATAATCCAAGACCAAAGTACCTGTGAAATAATTAGCTTTTATATTACGCCCTATGAATACACTGGCGGATTTAGAGGTGGGCCCAGTCCCCCTCCCGTTTTGTGTCCAAAATATACATAAAATTTAATAAATCAATTTTTTTTTGGTGTGTCCGTGGGCCCCTACCCAAACTGGTTGCCCCCCCCCCCCCTCAAGATTCCTGGATCCGTCACTGGAATAGGCCGAGTATTTGATACAAAAGACTGTATTCAGAAAAAAAACTGAAATGTATTTATTAAAGCACAAAATTATTCAACATAATTGTATTTGAAGAATGCCTTATTCATTGATATTCTCTTTTCATGTAAGCAAGTTTATTACGAAGTACAAATTGTACTTCGGGTTCGTTGCCACGATGCTCTCAGTGAGGAATATATACAAATTTTACCGATAAATTTATTAGGAAAACCTACTACATGTATGTAATAGTCCTTCGATACATAAATATATTCACAACTTACAGTGTTATCAATGATTTACCGTTATTTCAATGATCATTCACACAAAAGCTATTTTTTGTTTTTCTTTTTAACATCGGGCTCGATGCTATATGATGTTCTAGAAGCTTCCGTCAATATTACGATCGGTGAATGACGAAAATAATTTGCACATTTCCCTTTTTAATCGGCTATCACAACTTATTTCTTTTATATCATTTAAATCAAGTTTTGATTGAATAATTCAGTGATGACGTTTTATGAAATAAATAAACGATTGCTTGTTGTCACTTTCATTAATAATTGCCAGTAACTTAGATCCGCCAACCGGAAACGCCACCGTACTCACGTTTTTGCTATTTCATGGCTGTTTATAGAAAATAAAACTAGACTTTTAATTTAATGTACGATACTTATAATGCAAGTGAAATCTAAATATAGTTTACGGACATCATCTTGTATCGTGTGTATTCTTAGAGGAGTAAGTAAGAACTCTGGTGCACCCGTTTCGGAGTTTATTTGCAAAATTTATTAATTTATATATATATATATAATATATATATATATATATATATATATATATATATATATATATATATATATATATATATATATATATGTATGTATGTATGTATGTATGTATGCATATATGTAGATGTATGTATGTATGTGTATGTATGTATGTATATATAATATACAGTGCACTTATAAGTAGATAACCAACAACGCCATACTTTGGACCCTGAACTCGGTCTCAGGAGTCACATGGTTCTCACAATTTTTGTTTGTTTAATTATGAAAACAAATAATTGCTAGTAGTCTAGGATTTAAACAAAATGGGAAGGTCCATAAATATCGATGGTTTTGTCCCCATGCTCAAGCCCAAAGGGCCTAGAATTCATAATTTTATTCCCCTTTACCTTTAAGTCCATTTTGAATGAAAACTTTCAGAGAAGTGTTAATATTTATAACAGGCATGAACAGATAATATTATAGAGTGACCTGACTCTGGTGAACTAGAAAGAAGTCTGGAAATTTTTAAGTGTTGAACATTTTTCTTCCCTGAATAATTTAAACCAGTTAACGAATGACCCTCGACTTTAAGAAGAACTGTTCATGAATGAGTTTCTGTTAAGATGCCAATTCATAACAGGAGTGGAGATAAACATGAAACTGAAGCAAACTCAGCATGACATAATGACATACGGGATAAATTTGAGAAAAATTATCTTCTTTTTTTTTTAAATTTAATGAAACATGCAATGTTCTAGAGCTTTCTCTCTTAAACATTGAAGTGATTGGTTCAGTTTTAAGAGTTATCTCTCTTATTTGAGACTTTCTGCCTTCGTAATTTTGTACCTATGAACAGTTTCGTCACTTGTTTAATACCAGGTTGCGAAAAGGGCTACTTCAGACATCCTTCCAGCAAGACATCAGGATTTTTTGAATCTTATTCTGGTAAAACATATGACCAGTGTGCGACGCTATGTACGGCAGCCGCTAACTGTAAGGGTTTTGTTTATAATAGTATAACCTCACTATGTAACCTGGCTGCCAATGACGACCCAACTCCGGTTCTCGACTCTCCACAATGGACGTTTTCAGAAAAGATGTGTCTCTCTGGTATGTCAAAGCTTTGGATTAAATGTACTCGTACTAAGTTTAAAGCAATATTATGTAAAATATGTTAAAGAGTGCATCTTAAAATTATATGAAATTTATATGAAATTTAAAAACGATTCTTGGAATTTTTACTGAAATTGTATGTATCATGTAGAACTTCTGCTGTTGTTGCCTACAACGGAAGATGTAACCACAACAAAGGAAATACAAACCACTGTTCCATCTCTCATAACTCGTGAAACAACGACAGTTGTCACCACGACAACAGAAACAGAAACCACTGTTCCATTTCAAATAACTCATCAACCAACGACAGAAGTCACCACGACAACGGAAATAGAAACCACTGTTCCATTTCAAATAACTCATCAACCAACGACAGAAGTCACCACGTCAAAGGAAATAGAAACCACTATAACTCATGAAACAACGGTTATTTCAACCAAGGCGGAGAAGACAACAAAGACGGATATCACACAGTCTACCATGGTATCTACAGTCTTAACCGAAATTACTACAGTCGCAACTAAAAAGATAACAACAGAATCACCAGCAACATCATCGTTTGTAACCAGTGAACTAACAACTGAGAAAACGACAGCTTTAATTACAAAACAAATGACACCTGCCTTTATTTCTTCGTATTGCACATGTGTCTGTGAAGAAACTACGGAAACAATTTCCAAACGTATAGCTGAAAGAAAGCAGGACCTGAAACTGGATCGTCGCAGGCTATCGGCCTACACTAGGAAGCTATATTGTGCCCACGACAATAGAACATCGTCCACTAACATCGGCTATGTAGGAGTTGTTGTTCTTCTTTTGTGTGGATTTTTCATTTCCTTTCCGGATATTATAAGGATTATAAGGCTTTTAGATAAATAAAGCATCGTTTAGAGTTACTTTACAGTGATTTTATCGGTTGGCAACGGGTCTCTCTAGAACTAGACATTTACCTTTTTGCCTTGATTTTTATCACTTTAGATTTGATGAATCAATATGCTAAATGCATAAATATTTGGATATTATTAAGCATTTTTTCTTCAGCTTTCAACCGCACACTTTTTTTTCCTCGAAAATGTGTGTTCATGTATATCTGTAGGAAATCTTCGGTACCACTTTCATTAACTTTGTACTACTTTATACATGTATGTAATTCTGATAGGATTTCTTTTTAGAAAAAAAAAATTACAAAGCTTTCGATTTAAGCGTTGATTTTCCAGGTTATAATCTAAACGCCGTGTTAACAGCTAAGTGTCTAAGATGGCTCAGGAAAATAAACACAAGTGATGCCTAGATAACTCTTCGACTCAGCTAAATACGAGATTAATATTTTTTATTCAATGGTTCACAGATTCTTCCGGTATAATAATGTATAAAAACAAAACTCTTTTATTCTAACAAAAGCTTGTAAACAAATAATGAATGCCATCATTTCACATATATTGCCAGTAAACTATTTTTAAAAATAGAAATAGGATTGATATCTTTTGTGCATCTAAATATATATCAAGTACTAAATCATTTAATTATTACCATGTACATTTTCAAATATATACTTTTGATAATGAGGGAAATTAAAAATGTGTTTTGGATTTGTCGAAAACTCTTTGAAGATGTGAATGATCAAAATAAAAAAAAAAACACAATTCAAATTAATGGCCATGATCTTTCAGTAACTTCACCATGTGCTACAATGACGCCCTTTTCGTTCTCTGCCATTCCAGAAAAGATTCTCCCTCGTCCGACAAATCCTCCTCCTTAGACACATTGACAGTTGAGTGTATAAATGGAGAAATGTGATTCGAGTTGGGATTTGAATTATAAATTTTATCTTTAGGGGAGCGCCATTTGTAACATGAACACGAACAGACAGACAAAACCTCTTGAAATTCGGGACGCTCTTGAGCGTTTGACACGACGCCACCATTTCCAGTTATGACGTCACCTTCCAGACGAACTGCATTCTGGGCAGCTACAGCAGCCTCTATTTCGTCTCTTCTCTCGTCCTCGGTGTTCATTGTCAAAAATCTCAGAACAAGTAAATTCATGGCTGCAGAAATAACCGTTAAACCTATGATAATGAACAACAGACTAACGACTATATATCCAGGGTCGTTGTTCTCTCGTTGCATGGCTACATAATCCCCAAACCCTATCGTTGTAAGAGTTATAAAACAGTAATAAAAAGCATCAAGCATCTTCCATCCCTCGTTCCGGGAGAAAATGAGAGCTCCAGTTGTAAGTATTATACTGGATAGCATTAGTGTTATCACTATTAAATCAGTCTGGGACACTTCCTTGCTTTTACATCGAAAACACTTCTTGACATTTTTCAGTAAAAACGTTACAAAAGTATTAAGTCGTTCACCAACACTTTGGAACATTATCAGAAACAATGGAATCCCCACTAATGCGTATATCATACAAAATAACTTGCCTGGTACTGTTTTTGGTGTACTGTGACCATATCCTGCATAAAGGAAAACATGAATTTAGGGACTGGTTTGTCCAATTTTTTAAATAATTAAATATACTGTACAAAAATTGAAAATAATTTATTCATGAATTACTAAACTATTTATGTACTCATATTTTGAAGCAAAATGTTATTTATTGCATGTATTCACAAGCTAGGTGTTTACTCAAGATATGAAAATCGTTATGATTGTTCTAGAAACTCTTTTTTCTGGTAATTCTAGAACGTTCTCTTTTGAATAAGTAAAGTGACAATGAACTTACCTATTACAGAGCAAACGACGAGAGAAAAATAAAGTGCGCCTACAAATTTCCATTGGTTTTCCACTCTATATTGCCTAGACCTCAGTGCATTTTCCCGAATCTTTTCGAAGTCTTCATCCGAGATGTTATGTCGTTTTATGATCTCCTCCTCACGACTGAGAAGACTTCTTTTCATTTCAATCTCGTTCTCAGATTCCAGGGCGTCGAAGACGGCGGCACCGATCAGAAGGTACGTGAAAGTGCAGACAATCAGAGACAATGTTCGGACGTTCTGTCGTTTCATCATTTGTAGAAACAGTAAAGGCCCACAATAAAAATGTTTCGAAGACTCTGAAAAAGATGTTTTTCGATGTTTATATTTATTGTATGAAACGCACGCACAGTGCCTACATATAGGAATTCAAAAAAGACTAAAGATCGGGTGTTATTATAACTCCCTAATACAGCGTCGTTGAAACATAATTATACAAAAATGTACAATGTATATTATTATGTTTATTGCTAATTTCTTTATAATTCTGACAATTACTTGACTAGTTTCTATTACTTCCATGTTTGTTTTTCAAACAATGATATAATATATATAATGTAAAGGTATCATTCTAAAGATTGTAAAAAGTGTGCTTAATATATTTATAAATGACCGATAACACGGAATTCTCACAGTCAACCTGTCGACGAAGAATTCCCCTTGGGATTAACTGCCCGCCATAACAGATTAGGATCGATATCTCATTTTAACAATGGGTTTCGGTGAATATGAGAGGAAATCGATGAGGGTCGGCTTCATCATAACAAAGCTGTCCACATCTCCTAAATATCGTTTTCATTGATTTTTTTTATAATCCCTGAATTTCCTTAATTTAACCCTTCAAGTGTAAACGATTATGAAAAAAGTTAAACATAGAAATGTATTTATCAGAAAAATTCTAATTTGCAATGTTTCTAAATAGCCTGTAAGCAAACATAACTTGAAGTTAAGTGTACTACATACCTTGATAAACGGTCTAAAAATGATGCTCGCAATACATCGTGTGCTCCTTTATGGAAGTCATTAAAACTAGTTTTTACACTCTATAGCCAAAAAGCATGTGCAGATGATGACAAGTATTTGCTATTGATTCAAAGAAGCAGACGATAACGAGACATAAGGCGGATACGGAAATTCCTGCCAGTTGTAGAGCGTTTGTTGCGTTGGAAAAATGGCGGCCTAGATCAATACTTTGCTAATCCGAACAGATCTTTTGAAGACTTATCTGTTAAAATGCAACGAATTTACTCACCGGCATATTTTTATCAAGCTAATTATGTGCATATGCACAGAACTAATTACACTAAGCTACTGAAAGCTCTAAGGGATACAAAACAACTATATCATTTAACTTTTTATGGCCCAGGCAAAATTTTTATGTCCTGTCTAATCTTTTTTATGTTTCATATTTGTCTTTAATTTTCGTACTGTGTACATTCTACTATTAATGGTGGTTTTTTTTTCTTCAAATGTACAAAGTTCAAAGACCCTGTGTTCGTCTGCATGTCCGTGATAAATATTCATTAATACCTACCCATCGGGATGACACAACATATGCAAATCTGGAATCGGTCGCTGTAGCATCGATCACTTCTCAACCAGGAGGCCCGGGTTCGATTTTCGATTCAGACACTTGCCAAAACTAAAAGTTCAATTGTTTTAAGTTTCAATTTAAAACAACATCTCTCTGTCTTGTAAAACCCTTTATAATATACATTTATCAAGGAACTATTATAATCGTTCACATCACAATTTGGCCAGTTCGGGGGCATTTGTGTGTAACAATTATCTTTGAAATGTTTCTTATACAATGTATAATCAGTAAAATTCTAGTATGTCACTTATAAGCCCTCTTATAAGTTGGTATGTGTTCTACGCTTTTATTCTATTTAGTCGACCCGTGCCTTTCGCATTAATTACAACTGAACTATACATCAAAAAGTTATTAAATACGAGGGTTGTTAGAAAAGGACACAGTGATTTACAGGAAAATTATTGTGTACTTTGAAGAATGACACATGTTTGCTTAAATTATTATCTTTTACTAATAAGTATACAAAAATCATGTCAATTTACAAATATTTTGAAAATATACAATTTTGTTTACTTCCCAGTCATAGGATTCACGGATCATCTACTTGAAGTTTTTTGACATTAAGGACCCTCTATACACTAGAGGAAAATATTTTTTGGACATTGAGAAAATTATAGTGCGTAAAGGTGTAAGTATTGAGCTTATCTATCACATTTTCAACATAGGGTGCCTTGCATTTACCCTCAGGAAAAATGTTCAAAGACAATGAAGTACTGATGAACATAAATCACTGTTGTTTACTTAAGTGGGCAAAATATCTGCAAATGAAGTGTTCTATCTATTCATCTTGGCCTATTAAAGTGTTATGAATGCTTGATTTGATCACAAATTAAGTAATAAATTGTACATTTCAATTTATTTTATCAAAGGGCAGATCACTCTATTTGCATAAAAATACCACAAAATCAGAACTCTCTAGTGTGCAGTGTATAGAGGGCTCTTAAGTGACGTGACAACCTGGTTCCAAACCTGTCAATCTTTTTAATAATTTTAAATATATTCCAGTTCTATATACTTTTTTGTCTTTTTCCCTTTAAAAAAATATATTAATATAGCAAGACATGTTACCTTTTCAAATATGTCTTTTGTGGCTTTTCGGATATCAGTTAGATCCTAAAATTATTGTCTACACAGTTTAACGTTCAGATATGGAAAGAATGCAAAATCCATAGAAGCAAATGTCAGGACAATAAGCGGGGTATCGCAGGAGTTGATCCACAAAAAATGCAATCTTTTAAACCTTAAATCCCTGCTACAACTTGAACACTTTGGTACCAGATACATGTACGTGTAGGCGATTACAGCAACATCTAATACATGTACCATTTTAGTCTCTTTTGGACATTTCACTGCCCGCACGCATGATTTTTGAAACAGCTTGATTCTCCAAGACGTTGAATGGCATTGGCATTCTTGACTTTGTTTTTACGCATTGATCATCTATAATTAAACAGTCATATTATTTCTCCAATTTAAGTCAAAATTTCACCAAATGCCTTTGATAAATATTGTAGCGACAGATGAAATATATCACATATTTATGCACTAAAACAGTAAAAAATTTTAATTTCACAACATTGTCTATATACATGTAACGAAAAAATGCAAAAATGTGACTTGGTCCGTGAGACATATTTTATCTTAATAATATATAGCTGTATATTTTTAAAAAAAAAAGAACTTGGAAAACGTCAAATATTTGTAAATTCATTGTTAAATACTTATAAAATTTGTTATCTGCAGAGTTTTATTGAATTCATGCGAACAGCGCGCTCACAATACAATATGTCCGCTTGAATACCGTTCGTTATTTTCATATTTCATTTACTTTTAATTTAGCATAAAAAAAGAAGATGGGTGAAAAGGCATGCAGAATACCTATAACTTCAGATATATAAAAATGATATTCAATTTGTGAATTTAGTATTTAGATTAAAGTTCTCATTGAAATTTATGAAATTATGATAAACAAAACGTTTGAGGCAAATTTTCTCAGCAATAATTATTCTGTTATTAAAAAAATCAAGTACTTCCCGGAAAGATGCGAATGTTTTGTCATAAAAGTGTTTTTTTTTTTTTAAGGTATAGTGGTTCTTTGCTCCACGTTTTTGTTAACCAAAAAATTTTAAGGATAAACTTTCAAAAACAATGGAGCGAAGATCCACTCAAATCGAAAAATTGTGTTATAGTATGAAAAAATGGTCCTTTTTACTCTCTTTAGTGTGTGTATACTATTTCATAGGCAAATAACTTCAATCTTTGAGAGACTTTTGCACTTGTGGAGTTTTACATAAAGTATACTTCGATGTTACATGAAATATCAAAGAAAATATTGTTATAATGGAGATTTTATTTTTCACCGTTATGTTTGTCACACTATAGGCATTTCGCTCGCCTTGTTCGCCCATCTTCTTCATTGAGAGGTCCCCCCCCCCCCGTGAATGGACCTTAACATACCCCCCTCCGCAATTAAATTTGGAGTTGGGAGAATTCTCCTCATTGGGGGGGGGGGGGGGGGGCTAGTCACAGATTTTTTTTCAGGTAAGTTGTCAATTTTTTCCTTATAATATACATATCCTCATTGGGGGGGAGGGGGGGGGGCTAGTCACAGATTTTTTCCAGGTAAGTTGTCAATTTTTTCCTTATAATATACATATATTGCTGTTTTTTTCAGTCAGTACGATGATTTAGCTATCTTCAAAGTACAATTTTCACCTCACCCTTTGGGTCGGTGAATATTGTACTCCTCAGGTGGCCAAATCATCGTATTGACATCAAACCATCAATAATTGTATAGTATTGCATGTAAGCACTTGATCAAAATTTATGCCTTATGGGTGTAGGGTACGTTCTCGTTAAGTTAACATACGCTGATACATGTACCAAGATGCCGAATTTTCATTACAAATGGACCACATTTTTCCAAAAAAAAAACAAAAACAAAAAAAATAAAAAAAAAAACCAACTAGAGTTTCTGAACAAACGAAATACAATATACCAATTATTTTATGATCAGCAGCATGTACTAGTACAATCATTTAATTGTACTGAAAGGTGTTCTTCTTATTACATGTTAAGTTGTGATGCATAATAATATTATAAATTTTATCACTGACGTAGAAAACTATGTTTTCATGTAAAATCGGCTGTTCCTCTGAACATTTTGGTAACACCTCCCCACTCTCTTGAATCGAAGAGAATTTCCACTGCAGAATCAGAGTTATCCTTCTTTCCGTGCCTTCCTCAAACAACCAGCTTTATTAGAATTGCATTCTATATGATGCTCTATAATATCGGCAGTCTAAAGGCTATTTACTTATTTGTTTCAGAGGTAACATCAAAGAAACAGCTATTATTGCATATCTGAGAAATGAGATGTTAAAATCCTAGCGTATAGTTAGTACTACAACTACATGTGTAGTTAGATTGAAAGTTTTCAAAGTCCGTTACAGCAACAAAAATTGGGGGGGGGGGGGGGCAGTATAGCAAAATACTATACTCAGAAAAAAGTGCCACCCTCCCGCATTCTAAGGGCCTGTTCAATACTTTTACTACAGATATATATAGCATTATGAAATTTGCATGTGCCTTAATAATAAAAAATTAAGAAGTGAACATATCGGTTTTGTGTGGGGTTTATTTAACGGGTTGTCCCTGTAGATGAAAATAAATTTAATAGTCAACTATATCTATTTATCACCATGTATCTCTCTCTCTCTCTCTCTCTATATATATATATATAGAGAGAGAGAGAGAAAGCTTTCAAAGCAATGGTAGACTGCAAATGCAAAGTAATGAACTCTCGGTAATGTTTCCATCGTGAATATTTAACAATATTTTTTAAATGTTTAAGTTCATTTAAAATTCATTCGATTCCACTCTCAGGATCATATAATTTTAAGAAGCTTATCTAGTCAGCTATTTGTAAAGTCTGTCTTACAATACAAGCCTCAGTACTTTCTGCATTTTCTTTCCAAATACATAAATTCCTTGGCCTCCAAACAAGTTTCGATCTTGCAGTAGATAATCCCCCCCAAACTGTCTCCTTTGAAATGACTTCAACAAGTGTATTGATACAGCTACGGAAGCGTATTAGTGCCACGTAATTTTTTTAAAGGCAGAGATTTTTTACAGGGTGGTAAATTCCAGGTGAGGGAGGGGCTTATTTTGTACAGGTGTAAATGCCTTGAGGGCTAGCTGTCTACCTGTGGTTGTTTGTCTCCTAATCCCTATACACAGGAAGTGATTTAATACACAGCAGAGTACCCAAGAAGTCAAACTTTACCTGTGTTGGGATTTTGAGATGATTTTAAAATAGAAATAAAAAGTTGTAAATAAAGTTTAATCTCAATAATTTTTATTAATTTGTAATTGAATATGTGTCAAAGTATCCCCGTCCATTAAAAAATATTATTATTCAAAGTATTTTTTGAGCTATGAAAAAAAAGTTATACCAAATTTTGATATATATTATCGTAAACAAAATCATAATTATTTCAAATATTAAAGGTGTGTATATATATATATATTATCAA